CACACACACACACACACACACACACACACACACACACACACACACACAATGCTGGTAGTAATGGAGCGTTCCAATAGCATTGGGAAGTGGAAATTTCTTTGCTCACATTCATAACTTTAAATTGGAACGCCCCCTCCAGTGATAAACCCCATTGGAATAGTGGGAGTGACTGCAACTACCCCCAGTTTCAATTACAAGATGCTGGCTACTTGCAGCTTTAGAACGTTAACTCTGTAACTTTTACTGTTAATTATTATGTTTTTGTGCATGTTTAATCATTCATACAATAGTGTGTTTTTTGTGCATACTGTACATATTAAAATCAATGTTTATTTGCATGACGTACATAGTAGAGCTCACTTTTTGTCACTGTTTGTATTGTAACAGTGTTGTCGGCTAACTGGAATGTGATTTCATATGGTTTGTAGGGAAATTATATCACTACCACTTCCCAGTTCAGGAATACGATGCACCATAAGCTACATTGTAGCCACAGCTGCCCTGAGGCAGACTGACAGAGGTGGGGCTGCCTGCACCAGCGCCACCTGACCTTAAACATTTAAGAAATAATTATTTCATGTACATGTACAAATGAGTAATTGTTGGGGTCAACCCAATTCAAGATTGAACGAACTGAAAAATGGCCATAGCTTAGTCAGTTTTATGGATATTTATATGGTAATAGCTGAGCTTTAGCTCCAAAATATAAAAAACAAACACTGAGTGATTATTTATCTTTTATTTGTACTTAAAATGTCGGCAACAACTTTTGGGCATGAGCTCAGTTTGTTTGTTGCAAAATATCTCATGAACCACTGGACGAATCTACAACTCCAATTCCAATGAAGTTGGGATGTTGTGTAAAACATAAATTAAACAGAATACAGTGATTTGCAATTTCTTTTTAGCCTATATTCAATAGAACACTACACTTCAAAGACAAAATATTTAACGTATAAAAGGATTAATTTTATTGTGGGTTTTTTTTGTGCAAATTTTCACCAATTTTGTATGTGATGCCTGCAACACTTTCCAAAAAAAGAGAGAGAAAAAAAAGCTGTGGCAGGGGCAACAAAGCATGGAAAAAATTTGGAATGCTCAAAAAACACGTTTGGAGCATTCCACAGGTGAAGAGTTTAACTGGAAACAAGTGGATGAAATGATTGGTTATTAAAGGGAGCACCAAAAGGCTCAGTTGTTCACAATCAAAGACAAGGCGAGGTTTACCACTTTGTGAACAACTGTGTGAGAAAATAGTTCAACAGTTTAAGAACATTTATCAACTTATGATTGCAAGGAATTTAGGGATTTTATCTTCTACAWTTTATAATATCATCAACAGATTTTTAGTAGCTGACAATCAGTAATAAACTCTGAGTGTTATTCAGAGTGCCTTGATGTCTCACAATGTTTCATGAGACTGTACTTTATGCTGTTTACAAAGTTTGACCAAAACATTTGGAATTTCATCTCTTCTCATCACAAAATGGTTTTAGTTCAAATCTCTGGCATCATAGGCACTGGCAGTGGACAGTATGTTGTCCTTTAAGGATTTTTAGGCCCTTAAATATTTGGCATAAGTTCTTTGTGATGTAATTTTAGCCGTATACTTCCTTCCATCTAGGTGCACCAGCATGTCAGCATTCACCCAGTGATTACTGCTTAATTACTGATAACCTTAATCAGGTCCATTTCATGCCTCATTACTGTAAACATCAATAAAAAAGGGGGGAGGGGGGGGGCTGCTAGAGACAAATTAAATAAACGTAGAATGGCTAGCACTGTTTCTTGATGCTAAACAAAAACACGTTTCAAATTGCAACATGAACCCATTATTCACCAAATCTTGATCCACTTGTTATGAACCATATCACCAGGAGCCACGATTCCCTGTTGCTCTTTATCACACACACACACACACACACACACACACACACACACACACACACCTAAAGAGAAGACAGAGGTGAGGGTAAATGGCAGAGAAGTTCTCACTCCTCATGACATTAGTAGTTGACACAGTTGGCTGTTAATGCTTAGCAGCACAATGTGGACTGTCATGGTTACRTGTGTGGAAAGCTTGTCATTAGGGACTCTAGCCTGCATTTCGCTCTCCCTGGCACCATAAACATGTTTACCAGCACAATCATGCACTAAACTGACTTCATATTTGTTTTCAGAACAGAATAATACTAGCTTGGTTTGATTTTTTTTATGTGAAAATCAGACAAATAAACTTTTTTTTAATTTGTGTTAAAGCTGATTCAAAAGTTTTGTTCATGAGCATAATTTCAATCTGCATAAACTAAATGTAAGGAAACATATATATTTTTCATTTAAAATGTTTACTTTCATCTGATGTTTGCCAATTAAGTGTTATTATTATATTATTTTCTGGTCCATTGGGGCCAGGATGCTGTAACGATGGGTGGAGAAAGAGAAAGCCACCAAGGATTTGTTCTTTGAATACACTCTCAACAGTGTGTCTTCTTAAGTGAGTCACAGTTCTACAATGTGGGGCTTGAATTTTTGTTTAAGATTCTGAAATTTTGTAAAAATGAGTTGGATTCTTTCCATCTGGATGGCCGAGGTCCTTCTGGTTTTCTGCTGGGGACAAAACATTGTGCATGAAGGTAAGCTTTTACACTAATAACTTCATATTATGGCATAATAAACGCTGAATCAGCATTTACACCATCATTTTCCATTTTTCATAAGTTCTTTTTTTTGCAATGCAACTACTTACTTTGTGCTATTTTAGCCATTTATATATCGATATATTTATCTCAGTGAAGAAATGGGTGATTTGATTTTTGTCCTGTAACTGTTATAATTTTCAAAAGGCTTAACTTTTTCTATGAAAAAGTTCCCCAAATAAATACATTGGGATTTCTTCAACTTCTAAAATGTTGTTCTCTTTAAAATCTACGTCAACATACTTAGATTTTAACTAGCTATTTCCTACTTTTAGCTTTTAGCTAGTATTTTGTTACTTTTAGTTATGTTTGTGTTACTTTTAACTTGTAGCTTGCCTTTTGCTACCTTTCTTTTGTAGCTACTGTTCTAGATTTTAGATAGTTTCTCGTTACGTCAAGCTATCATTCTGATACTATAGCCAGTCTTTTTATACATTTAGCTTTCAGCTAACTATTTGTTGCTTATAAAGACAATTTAGCTACTTTCAGCTTTTAGCTTGCCCTTTGCTACCTTTAGCTTTTAGCTTGTGTTCTGTTTAGCTTGTGCTCTACTCTCTGTTTAGCTTTCTCAACCAGGGGATTCTGATGTTATCAGTCCATGAAATGGACGTTATTATGCGTTATCAGTCCCATACAATGGCTTCAGAGGGTCCCTACTGTGCCTTCTAGGCTTCAGACTGTCCCGACAGTGCCCCCTAGTGGTTTAATATGTCAATGGCAATGAATGTGTAAACAACCAAAATACATTGTAATAATTTTTTTGTGTCCGTGTCAGTCTTGAAACCTGCTCTCCTGCTCTCTGACTCGACAGTCTACCCATTGCCCTATTGGAAGACCACAATATACATCTGTTGGAGGGCGGTGTCTTTAGCGCTAACCATGTCATTTGCTCTAAAGTTAACCTTAGTGGCTTTAAGCCTCATATTAACCAGTTTTTTATGCCTCATGTTAACCAGATAGTGCTTTTATGCCTCATATTAACCAAATAGTGGCTTTATGTGTCATATTAACCAAATTGTGCCTTTATGCCTCATACTAACCAGCTAACAATCGGAAGCCATTCTATGGGACGGGGAACCTGCTAACTGGCACAGACAGGACATTCTGAAGCCATTCAAAGGGACTGATAACGCCTAATAACGTCCATTTCATGGATGATAACATCCGGAGAGGGTGCCTCAACAAGTTCTGGGAAAGTCAATGAGGATTCAGCTTTCCTTTATTTACTGTAGCAAATAATTTGCCATTGAACATTGTTTGATTTTGTGTAGTTCATATTATTGTCTATTTCTAACTGGTTCAATGTCAGAACCCAAACATGCCATTAAAAATCAAGAAGTCCATTTAAAGAATATGTATTCTGTTCCAGGAAATAATCTGTCCCCATCTGGCTACCATCTTTGTGTCCATAATGAGACGAAGACTGTGAGTTTCTTGGTGGTCCAGGCGGTCCCGTACACTCAGACGAAGCCTTGTGGCTGGCTCTTCTGGACCACGTGCACAGTCACGCTTTACAAGATGACACATCAGATCAAGTACAAAGCATTACAGGAGCAGGTGACAGGGTGCTGCCATGGCTACGTGCAAGTTGGTCCTTATTGTGCCTTATGTGAGTAAACCTATCTCTTATCCACGGCTTGGTTGAATACTGCAGGAAGAGAGTATCGCTCATTGCCAAAAGGCAAAGATGGACAATGCTGTTTTTGTACTTATCAAAATATCTTACAAACCATGGGATGAATTTTAATGAAACTTGCAGAAAGCAATTATTGGATGTACATTTACAGGTGATTAACTTTTGGGATTAATGTAATTCAAGATGTCTGAATGCAAAAAATACTGTTAACTGTGTCAGTTTTACAGATATTACCTAAATGTTGATGTGGTAGTAGCCTAATAGTCCTTAACAACACTTATTTTGAGGTGACATTTAGTGTTTTATGAGATTAATGTTATTCACAAGGTTTGGTCAAAACAATAATTCTCATTGCTCAGTGTTAGAAAAAATTTGTCTAAAAGTCTGGCATAAAAAGTAGCTGCGACATGTATTCCTCGGTCTTTAATTAGCTTTAATCTTTGTGTTTGTAAAAGTGTGATGATCTAATATCTCACAATGCAGCCCGTCCAGCAGTCTGGCTGACCTTTCACTGTGGTTCTGTGTGCAAGACAGCAGATGGAAGAGCAGAGACTGCAGTGCTACAAATATCTCACCGCTAATTTATGGCCTGTAACATGTTATTTCCTTTGAATGAAGCTGTAAACAGGAGTGATGAGTTTACTGCCAAGCCAGGATCCTGTCCAACTGCAGATGGATCGTCTCCCAGATCTGAGGACTGTGGGTTTGACTTCGACTGTCCAGGCTGGCAGAAATGCTGCCAGAGATCCAGCCGCTTCCTCTGCAGCCATCCTACAAGTTAGTATGAATTTAATTTTACTAAACATGAAGCTGAAGTGTTTTACTGGGTTGGGCTTATATTAGAACATCATAATTTTAAATTAAGGGTTTTTGATTTTCACTTCACAAATGATGCCAAAAATGTCAGTTGTGGAATGAGTATAAAATGCAAATGAGTGGGAACAAACAAGTGAGTCAATCTACACAGTAATGTCAGTTACACAACAAATTTACTAAAAATAAATACTTGTTAGATGTAATTCTAATTGTGCTGTCACATTTTAGCTGACTCATGAAGCTCTTACAATAAGGCTGTTGCAGGAAAACATAATTTTTAATTAAATTGAATGTTAAAGTCAGTGGTGGGCACAGTTCCCCTAAAAAACTAAAGCACTAATAGAGAGACCAATTTCCTGATTAGTGCTTTAGGATTTTTGCTATTTTTAAAATTCATTAGTGAATTAGCACTTGCTAAGCTTAAGGGCTAAATTTAGAAGCACTAACTGAGGTCCATAAATGTTATTGATCAACACTATTGTTCACAGTTGAGGGTGAAAGCTGTTACATTTTGTTCACATGCGTATCACTTATCTACAAGGTCATGTGTCAAACTCAAGGCCCGCGGGCCAAATGTGGCCTGCGGGTGACTCCCATTTGGCCCGGAAAGCGCACTAAGTGACAATAGTCACACAGTAAAAAAATACTGTCTTATGTTGACTGAAGAATGTTTCATGTCTCACCTGGAATATATTAATGCTTTAGAATTAGCTTTTGCTAAATTTTTCAGTGTGTTAGTGCTTTAGAGTTAGGGAACCTAAATATTTGAGTTAGTGCTTTAGGGTTAGTGCAACTAATATTTTGATAAGTGCTGCCCACCACTGGTTAAAGTACTGTCATGGCTAAAAAATAACAAGAAAAAACAAGAATGCTAATTCTCATTTCCAAAGTTTAGTGTATAAGGACACAATGCATATTATCATGGTCTTTTTTCCTCTTGTCATCCTTTTGTATAAGGTGACTTATGATCTACTATAGTCAAAGTTTTTCTATTGCAAGTGTTTTCCAGTGTGTGTGCGCAACTCCTACAGTGGTTTTATGGCATCTGGTGTTCCCTGGCAGTCTCCCATCCAAGTGCTAACCAGGCCCAACCTGTGATATGTAGTTCTTGCAAACTCCTAAAATAGTTAGTCAAGATGAGAAAGGTAAAAAAACTACTGCTAACTTTGGTCCAAGCTTCATCTGTCGGACAGATGACCTCACAGTTGACTCCAGAATACTTTGGTATGAAGAGTAAATGATCACCTCAATGACTACAAGGTGCCCAGATCCTGTTGATGTAAAACAAGCCCAAATTATCACCCATCCACCACCATATTGGTGTGCTGTGATTTTTGTTTTGTGCTTTGTTTGGATGAAACCTAATGAAGTTGTATTAGAAAACAGAGTCTTTCTRCATCAACACTTCCAAACAAGCCTTCAGTCTTTTTTTTAACTTACTGTCATGAACTTGAACCTTTAATCTACAAACTGAGGCCTGTAGAGTCTGAGATGGAGCTTTGAGGTTTTATGTATTTTCTATTAACATTGCACAGTCTGACCTTAGGGTGACTTTGCTTGGAGGTCTGCTCTTGGTAAAATTGACAGCTGTCTCCAATGCCTTTCAGTTTAGAATAATTTTTGTCACTGTAGAATGATGGAATTCAAAATAGATTTTAACACTTCCCAGATTGATGCACAGCTGCAACTGCTGCTCTTCTAAGGTCAATTGCTGATGTTTTCCCTCCTTGGCATTATGTTAACACTCATCTTTTAGAGGTGGTCACAGTGATAATGGTCAGTTCATAGTGGTACCCAAGGGTTTTTATCCAGTGTTATTCCTTACTTTAATCCCTGATGAGCAGCAGATGACCTTATTATGTCTTGATATGTAAAACCTGGAAGCAAAGTGAATGATGTATTAAAGCAAACCAGTATTATCTAGTGAGAAGATAGCAGGACCACCTCCAGGCCCTCCAGTTTCTTCCCACAYACCAAAAACAATGCATTTTAAGTTCATTGGAAACTCTAAATATTCTCTAGGTGTGAGTGAGAATGGTTGTGTTGTTTGTCTTTGTGTGGATATATTTTGTTAACCAGCTTTTTCTGTTAAAAGTGAACTGATCCTTTACCAAACTTTCAGGTTCAGAAAATTATTTTGGAAGCAGAGGAAGSCACTGGAATGCAACAGTGACACTGAAAACTGACTACCAGGAAGTGATGTCCAGGGAGAATGGGCTTTTGAATCTCACAAGAGTGCTACAAGCAATGGTAACACAGCTGCTGATGGAAAATATTTCTGCTATTTTGTTAGAGTTGTTGCCACTTACACAAGAAAAAATGAGTCAACATTTGCATCCACGTAATTTCTTTCAATTGTTTTATTTTTTTGTACAGTTTTCAATCTACCTAYCTACTTCAAAAACTGAAATCTACTTTACATACTTTAATCTTGTGTTACTTTTAGTTTTAAACTAGCCTTTTGCTACATTCAGCATTTAGTTTCCTTTTAGCTAAACAGCTATTTTGCAATGTTTAACTTTTAGCTAGCTTTTTTCTACTGTAAGCTTTTTTATCTACATTTTGATTTGCTGCTTTTAGTTTTTATTGATGTTATGTTTCCTTGCTATTTGAACTTTTAATCATTTGGTAATTTAGCTCAGCCATTTGTTACTTTTAACTATTGTTTTGCTATATTTTGATTCAAGGTGGCTTTTAAAAAAAGCTTTCAGCTAGCCTTTTGTTGTTTTGTTTTGTTTATTTAGGTTATTTTACAAATATTAGTTAATAGTTTGTCACTTTTTACGGAACACAAGAGCGGCCATTTTCAGTATATAATTATTTTTCCATGTTTTTCTCGTGATAACGACATAATATATCAACGTCTAATACTAATAACAAGGACAATTTTCTTAAGATAACAAGTAACGATTTTCTTGTGCATCATTCAGTAACCACAAAGACGTCCCAATCCCCTCAGCTGGTCACTGATAAAGTTTATTACATCAGCAGGATCACTGTGTAAACACCTGCTGAGCTGCAGTTGGGCCAGAAGTCTCTTATCTATACAAGACAAACAAATCACAATTTCAGCCTGTGTAATGATACAAAAATGACACAAAATTATGTACACTTTGTTGCCTTCAGGCCTTCCTTGCAAAAAGATCTGTGATGTCAATGGATTTGCCTGGTTAAAAAAAACGGTAAATGAATAGTAAACATCATCGATGACCAGCTGAGGGGACCAGCCCATCTCTACGGTTACTGAATGATGTGAATGATGCACAAGAGTCAAATCATCTGGAAATAAACTTGTTATCTTGAGAAAACGGTCATCATTATTTTGTGATAACAACATAATATGTGTAATATTAAAACCATGGGAAATAATTATATGTGGAAAACGGCCACTCTCGGCTTCCATAACTATTAGTCATTTGTCTGCTGATTCTTTTTTTTTTCAGTAGGCTAGTCTTTTACTACTTTTAGCTTTAGCTACCAATCTGCTAGTTTTAGTATTTAGTTACTGTATCATTCTGACACATTCAGGTTTTGGCTAGCTTTTTGCTTCTTTGGCTAGTATTTTGCTGCTTTTGACTTTAAGTTAGAGTTTTGCTTCTGTCAGTTTTTAACTAGTTTTTGCCCCTTTTAGCTCAGCTTTCACACAGTAGTTGTGCAAAAATGAATTTTTTTTCATTAGATTGTGATTTATTGTTAGTCTTAATTGAAAAATAAAATATTTTTTATTTTGTTGTTAAGGTAACTGGCATTCTACTGTCTGGAGTTTCTACATTTTACCTCGACTCATGGCCCGTTCACCCCRACAGAACCGCTTCTGCTCTGCTGATTAGGAGCAACTTCCCTCTTTCACTGAACAACGTCACATCAAAGCTGAACCTTCTTCTCAGACTCATACCGGAGGTGTCATCTGTAACAGTTCAAGGTAAAGATGGATCTGAACAGCCCCACTGATCTCTCTGTGAAGCTATTTGAAGATATTTTTTTTTCCTACAGAGAAATGACATTCTTGTAGAGATTTGAGAATGACTCATGAGGCAGAGAACACAGTGRTCAGGAAAAAATGACTCAGCTGCACCACAGTTTCCTTCTCCCACCTCTTCTGTTTGAGTGACAGTCTTCTGTGGGATGTTTCCTGCAATAGCGGAAAATAAAACCACAGCCACTGCACACACACACATGCATACAGAAACTCACACCCACACACTGATATTAATGATAAATCATATTTGTTACAGCTGCACAAGAAGATTTTTACAGAATTGCCATCATGAACCAGTTTCAGATACTGCACAGTTACTTAGATTATATATTTTATTTATGTTCAAGATTCAAGATTCAAAGTGTTTATCGTCATATATACAGATGAAAACACGTTTCCCTGAGCAATGACATTCTTACTTTCCCGACCACTCCGAATGCCAGGAGACAACACTAACAAGGTAATAATGGATAAAGGATAAAAAATAAAGACCACACTTCTAACAAAAAAAAGAGACCAAACTAGATAATAACATCAGAAGGGAACAATACAATAACAACACCAAGAAAGGGAGTAATACAATCAGTGTTTAAAGTGTAAATGCACAAATGTGCAACAGGTAACAGTCTGAAATGTGTATATGTGCAGTAATAATAGTCAGAAATGTCACATTCAGCTGTTTAAGAGTCTGATGGCACTTGGGGAAAACGAGTTCTTATATCTGGAGGTTCTGCATTTCACAAGTGAGCTAACTCTCATGAAAGTGAGGCAATAGTTTTTACACCACATGCCCTTCACACAACCACTGACCACCCTTGCCCTCTAGGGTGCCTGGGGAGCAGCTGGTGAGGGTTAAGGGCTTTACTCAAGAGCCCAGAGTGGGGCAAATGAGGGTGGAGGCAGGTGTAGGCGATTTACTTTTCCCACCCACATTTTTTGATTTAATGATCAAGGGATTAACGCGGGCACCACCACTCCCCTAATATTTTATACACATACTGTATACATTGGGAATAGTGTACTATGTGTTTTTGTTTTTATGACATTTTAGCTTTTTAAAATATTTCAACTTAAAATAAAGTTCCTTATTGAAATGCATTTCTATCCATTGAGTTCCTTAAAGGGATCCACGATTAGTTGTAACATTAAACTTTATTTGATAAACATTTATTTTAACTGTAAAATAAAGACTGTAAAAATACTGTAGGCTGTTTAGTTTTGTAAATTTTTTAAAATAAATTTTAACACAGATGGAGTCATTTTATTTACACGCAAAGCATTCTGGGTAAATGATGACATCAACTAGGTCATCGGTGAGCGGCTGCTAGTGAGCTATATCCACCCTGAAGGTTAATCTTGGACAATATCTGATGATCGACTCTTTTAAATGAAACCAGAGAGCGTTGACAGAGAGGAGAAGGTAGAAATGACTCAGCCTGTAACTGAAAATATGGATGGAGGCCAACAGAGCTGCTTCATGGAAGAAGAACATCAGCTTAGCCTGTTAGCCTTCGCGCTAGCCCTCAAGCTATATAGCCTTATATGTATTAGCTCAGCGCTACAAACAAGCTAAACTGAGGTCCTCCATCCATATTTTCAGTTGCAGACTGAGTCATTTTTGTGTTCCCCTCTCTGTCGTGGATGGAGGACCTCAGTGACGAGAGGAGAATGTGTAGTGCTGAGCTAATACATATTTATGGTGATAGCGTTGGGGCTAACGCTAAAGCTAACAAGCTAAGCTGAGGTTCTTCTTCCATGATGCAGCTCTGTTGTCCTCCATCCATATTTTCAGTTACAGGCTGAGTCATTTCTACCTTCTCCTCTCTGTCAACGCTCTCTGGTTTCATTTAAAAGTGTCGATCATCAGATATTGTCCAAGATTAACCTTCAGGGTGGATATAGCTCGCTAGCAGCCTRGCACTGATGACCTAGTTGATGTCATTATTTACTCAGAATGCTTTGCGTGTAAATAAAATGGCCCCGTCCGTGTAATATATTTTTAAACCTTTAGTTTAAAATTTATAAAAACTGAACATCCTACAGTATGTTTAGTCTTTATTTTACAGTTAAAGTATATGTTTATCATATAAAGTCTAATGTTACAAGTAATCGGGGATCCCTTTAAAAACATTGTCTTTAAAAATAGTTTTGCATATTTTTCAATTTTTGCTTTGCTTTATTAGCTGCTGCTCTAGTAGTTTTTAGTACAGTGGTATGCAGAGGTGGGCAGCACTAATCAAAATATTAGTTGCACCAACCCAAATATTTAGGTCCCCTAATTATAAAGCACTGACAAAATTATCAAAAGCGAATTCTAAAGCACTAAAATAATCCAGTTGATACATGAAACATTCTTCAGAGTCAACAGGAGACAATATTTACTGAGTGACTATTGTCACTTAGTGCCCTTGGCGGGCCAAATGGGGGTCACCCGCAGGCCACATTTGGCCCGCGGGCCTTGAGTTTGACACGTGACCTTGTAGATAAGTGACACATATAAACAAATGTGACAGCTTTCACCTTCAACTGTGAACAATAGTGTTGATCAATAACATTTAAAGACCTCAGTTAGTATCAGATGGCAGGCAGGATAAACCCAGGGTGCAGGCAAAAGTTTCAAAAGGCGAAAAAAGGCTTTATTAAATAACAAAAAACACTGACGAGGCATCTCAAAACTTACTCGGAAGCTCAGGAGATAACACGAAGAACACAGAGCACACCACACTGGCTGGTAAGCACAATACAATGATCTGACGCAGACTGAAACAGGACACAGAAAAGCAAACTAATTAAGGACAACAAGAAACACCTGGAGGAGACACAATAGGAAACATGTGAGCATGGGCGGGGCTGGKGCAGGGCAGAGATACACAGGGGAACAGAGAAACACTAGAAAACTAAGGAAAAAGAACACAGATCAGGACAGTTAGTGCTTCTAAATTTAGCCTATATATGTAGCAAGTGCTAACCCGCTAATAAATTTGAAAAAATAGTAAAAGCTCTAAAGCACTAATAAAGAAATTCATTCCCCTATTAGTGCTTTAGTGCTTTAGGGCAGAGGTTCTCAAACTTGGGTCCCAGGACCCCCTGAGGTCCGTGAGCTGTATCTTGCGGGTCCTCAAAATTTTTTCAATAAATTGTTCATTTGATTTTTATTTGTAAAAACTGCATATGGAGAACAATGAACTAGTAAAACAAACATACTAAACCAAACAAAATATACCTTTTCCATGCCATTTGGAAGGTAAAATGTCAGTAAACTATTTTTAAAACAGCATGGGGTTTATAAGGGGGTCCCTGGAACTTTTTCACCCTTGTAAGGGGTCCCCAGACACAAAACATTTGAGAACCCTTGCTTTAGGGAACTGTGTCCACCACTGGGGGTATGTATTGTCATGTATGTTCACACACACGATGATACAAATATAAAGGTAAATAGTCTTGGACAGTTATGTCAGCCCCCGTGGAGCTGTTGGGGAATAGGTGTCCTGTTTAAGAACACCACGAGGAGTTGAACCTGTGACTTTCTTGATCCCAGCTTGGCTGCTGGACCACAGGACCACTACCACACAGCAGCCCATTTCAGTGTGTGCTCTGCTTTTCTTTTTTTTTTTTTTTTTTTTTTTTTTGCTTGTGTCCTTCTGCTTTTAGCTTTTATTCTTTCGCCTGTGTTCTGCTCATTTTAGCTTCTGTTCTGCTTGTTTTAACTTAAACATTTCAGATTCATCACTCATTCAATGCTGATAGTTAATTTTCAAAATACCTGAATGCTTGTTGAATGTAAGAATTTTGAACTCAGTTTAAGTGACTAGTTTCCACGTTAAATCTTGTAGCTCATTACTGAAGCACAGATCTCCTTAAACATGAGCACATCTGCACATTTTCCTGCAGATGTGGATGAGTGTGCTCACCCCGCTCTTCACCAGTGCTCCCCTCAGGCAGTCTGTAACAACACATCAGGCTCCTACCAGTGTGTCTGTCACCACGGATATGTGGACGTCGATCTCAACAACCCTGGTGTCAACTGCACAGGTAAAAGATGCAAATATCACTTAAACCAGTGGTTCCCAAAGGGGGATCCCACGTGAGTCATGAAACATCAAGTCAAGGTCACGAGGAGATTTCCAGAAATCAGATTATTTTTAGAAACTATTAGCCATACCATATTTAGTCTTACAAAAAGATAAAAGCAGTATCATAAATATATGATGCACAATTTGATGTGGCTCTTCATTAAAAGACTTATTGACAACTGAGAGAGTTGACTGTCGCTAATCRGTGGAATGAGCCTCTGAATCAGACAGGCTGTTACTTCCTGTTTTTAAATCTACTCTTGAAACACATTTTCCCTCCTTGGTTTTTAACTCAGCTTGAGATGTCTGCCTTTAAGGTTTTTTGTTGTTTTTGTGATTTCAATGGTTCTTTATTTATTTATTTTGCTTCTTTAATTAATTTGAGCTGAAAACTTTGTGAAGCTCTCATCTAAACTGTTCAAGGCTGGTAATACATGGTTCCTATATACTTTTGCAACCATAGAAGGTGTGTTTCTATTTTGTTTTAAAAAGGTTTGGAAATAGAGTAGTCTAAAAATTACTCAATGTTTCATGACATAAATGAAATCAGAGAAATCTGCCAGCCAACCTTCACTCCATTCCAAACCGAAGTGTGAGAGTGTCACCATCAATGCTTTATCACCTCCGCCAAGAGACAAAGAGGATGTTTTTGCTCGTGTCTATGTGCGTATTTGTTTGTTCAAAGTTTTAGCAAAATATCTCATGAATGGCTGCATGTACACTGCCTGACTAAAAAAAAGTCTCCACCAAAAAAGGCCCACACTCTAATATTTGGTTGGACCAACTTTAGCTTTGATTATGGCACTCATTCTCTATGGCATTGTTTGGATAAGCTTCTGCAATGTCAAAAGATTTATTTCCACCCAGTGTTGCATTAATTTTTCATCAAGATCTCACATTGATGATGGTAGAGTCTGACCTTCTCCAGCACATCCCAAAGATTCTCCATGGAGTCTGTGGAGCCAAGCCATGGGTGAAAATGATGTCTCATGCTCCCTGAACCACTCTAACAACCCCAACCATGAATCCTGGCATTGTCATCTTAGAATATGGCCATGCCACCAGGGAAGAAACAATCCATTGATAGAATAACCTGGTCATTCAGTATACTCAGGTCAGCTGACCTCATTCTTTGAGTACAGACTGTTGCTGAACCTGGACCTGACCAACTGCAGCAACCCCACATCATAGCACTGCCCCCACAGACTTACACAGTAGGCGCTATGATGGGAGCATCACTTCACCTGCCTCTCTTCTTGATGCACCCATCACTCTGGAACTGGGTCAATCTGGACTCATCGGACCACATGACCTTCTTCCATTGCTACAATCTTTATCCTTAGCAAACTGAAGCATTTTTTTTTCCAGTTAGCCAATGATTTGACCCTTCTCAAACAGACTATCTTTTCCACGACCACAGGATGTCTTTCTACATGGTTGTTTAAGAAATGAGGAGCAACTCATTGCACCAAATAACTTGTTGCCAGATGAAAGATGCATGCAGTAATTATTCAATAGGCTCGTACCTATTTGTTTAGTTAAATCCAGGTGGCAACTTTTTTTTTGGCCAGGCAGTGTATTTCAGCAAGTTGTTTGAGGGGTATAATTCATTAACAAATGGAGTCAACCCAATTTTAGATGGTCACCACAACTAATTGATGTTAGCCAACCCCAAATAACTATAACTTCACAGATAATTGAGCTAAAACTTGGCATGGTTCCAGAAATAGTATTTCTCAACACATCTCACAATAAGCTCACATGGTTTGACCAAAATGGCTATAACTTCATTATTCTAACATGGAATGATCTTGGTTTTTAGCAGACCATAAGTGTTCCTTCAAGGAATACTAAGCCTTTAATAATATCAGAGTTTGACCACTGTTAGGTATATCACGTTGAACATGTCTGGCCACAGTGTGTAGTTTTCACACAGGTAAAAGGTGACACTGTTGTTGTTGTTTATTTATTTAAGAAGGGACAATGCATATTACAGAAAATGCCATAATTAGCCATGGAGCCTAGTTTTCATTGGTCACACTGACAATTATAGATAATTTGACATAATAAAAATAGAAATGTTTACACATTTGACAAAGACTTGCAGGAGGAAAAGTAATATACATGTTGCACCTTATGGGGGGGGGGGGGGGGGTGGCTTTCCAACATCACACCTAGGAAAGTCCCAAACAGTTCTGATAAAGATTACAGATAGACCAGAAGCTTTAAAAATGCTTTTCTTTGACATGAAAAGTAGTTCTGGGACAGTTTCAGTTTCCTTTGTACTTTGAGAATTATTGATGCAGTGAAATTTGTAAACGTCACAGAATGATGATGGAGGTCAAAAGTGCAGGTTCAAAGGCAGGAAACAGAAAGAATGAAATTTTATTAATATTTCTAACTAAAGCGCTGCATCATCATCAAAGAACAGGCTACTCCAGGGCAATATATTACAATGTGAACCACAGTTACTCAAAGCCAACAGCAGGGGCCAGACATCCCAGGGGGTTGGGGTTGCAGGCGGTGTTCACCATCAATGCTGGATGAAAACATTATTATTATCTTTTACCTATTAAATGTGTTCATTCTGTTGCATTAAATCATACATTTCAAATTTCCAAATGATTTAAAATCTATTTTATATTAAATTAAGTAAAACAAAACATAGAAACTGGTGCAAGATGAACAGAGCAGGAAACACACAAGAGAAGAGCCATAATGGTGGCAATGATTGTCAACTGATTTAACGGAGATGCAGAGAAAATGAGCGACTAAGCATGGGTGTAAATACAGAAAAGAAAAGGAAACTTGAAAAATACATCAGGTACTCATCAAAATTGATTGATATCTGAAAAGGGATAGAAATAAGATAAGATAAGATAAGATAAGATAAGATAAGATAAGATAAGATAAGATAAGATAAGATAAGATAAGATAAGATAAGAT